AGAATCCCAGAGTCACATCCATTTGCTGCAACCCCATGAATACTTTCCACTATCTTCACCCAAAGTTTGTCCTTCTCCAATGAGAACCTCCAAAGCCATTTCCCCAGAAGAGCCAAGTTCCTATTCCTTAAATTCCCGATACCCAAACCTCCCTCCCTCTTACTCCTACAAACCATCTCCCACCCCACCCTATGGTCCTTCTCCTCCCCCGACTCCCAGAGAAAGTCTCTCATTAGTTTTTCTAATCTACTAGCCACCTTTGTCAGAATCTTGAAGATTGACAAAAAGTAAATAGGAAGGTTAGCTAAAGTAGACCTGATTAGAGTGGTTCTCCCTCCAAGAGACATAGTTTTTCTTCCAAGTTGCTAATTTCTTTTCAAACCTCTCCACAACTGGAACCCAAAACTCATCTTTCTAAGGGTTATCACCCAATGGCAAACCAAGGTAATTAAGGAGTCAGTTTGCTATTGGGGCTTACTCAAATAACAAAAAAAAACCTAATTATTAGTCTAATTGGGTGAATTATGTTATGTGAGAAATTATACTAAAAAAATTTTTAGTAACAGTAGGTTAGCATGGAACTTGTAGGCTTCATTGTTGGTTGCAATCTTCCTCCTAACCACATCATGGATCCCCTTGATGTGGTTAGCAAAATCTTTTGCATCTGCACTTGGTCTTGCTTCTAATAGCAAAGGCACTAGGTCTATAGGCTTCTTAGGTTGAATTCCCATCACTATCTCAAAGGGGTTGTGACATGTAATTCTGTTCACAGAGCTATTGTAGGCAAATTCAGCTATAGGCAACACCAAATCCCATTTTGAAACATGATCACTCACCAAACATCGTAGTAAATCTCCCAAACTTCTATTCACAACTTTAATTTGCCCATCAGTTAGGGGATGAACTTCAACTTAGTATTCAACATATGCCAAAGAGTCCTCCGAAAGTAACTCATAAATTTGGCATCTCTATCTGAAACAATAGTACTAGGTAGACTATGCAAACACACAACTTCGTTAAAGAATAGTTATGCAATGTGAACAGCATCAGATGTCTTGCTACAAGGGTTGAAATGAGCCATTTTGGAGAAGCGATCAACCACAACATAGATGGAATCATGCCTCCATAGAGTTTTAGGAGGCCTAGCACAAAATCCATGGTAAGGTATTTCCAAGGAGAATGTGGAACAGGGAGTGGAGTGTACAAACCAGCATCATGTGTTCCTTCCCTTTGCTAGTTGACATACACAACACTACTTGATAACCTTAGCTACATCTCTTTTGAGTCTTGACCAATAGAAACGATCTTCAACCATGGCAATGGTTTTGTCCCTTCCAAAATGACCTGTTACACCCCCTACATGTAGTTCCCAGATTATTTCTTCCCTAAGTGAGGTATTGGGTAAACACTTCTTTTGAAGCCAGTCATTTCTCTATTGTTGTTGTTATCCTTGTTATTCTTTTTAGTTTCTAAAATGGATTTGGAACATCTTCAGGCATTGGCACTTCTTGGAGAATGTACCGGTGAAGACGATTCAAGTGTTCGCATTGGAGCAGTAATGAGTAATGGCCTTGCATACGCTAGAGCCCAGAATAAGCCACTCTAACCAGCTTCCTCCATGATCATTTGTAGAGCTATTTCTTCTCAACCTGTTTGTGATTGGATATTCTTGGTAGGTCAATGTCTTGGGCGCACAAGGGAGATTCATCTGTGGTAAAGATTCAAAAGTGGCATAGGTATGTTCTTGTTGTAGAATGTTTGCAATCCAATCTCTTGTTATTTCTGCAAGACAATGTTTGTCGGTTATGGAGGTGGCCATAATATTCTTGGGTCTTATAGGTACAGGCATTAGGAATGCTCGAATTGCGAGCATGCTGTGGAACCGCTCGAGGTATTACCATAAAGCAGCCAGTCCACTCTTTGGCGAAAGCTTCCCATTTCTATGCTTCATTTGGCTTTCTCTTATGGTTTTCCCGGTGTCACTAATTTGCTAATGATATATGTGCAGCTACGGATTGCTCAAGGTCTTGCTCATTTCGAGAAGGGCTTGCTGACTCTTGCGCCTTACCATCGTTCTGGTCCTCGGTGACATTGTAAGTATAGGACACATCACATGCTTATTGGACTTCTGTTTTCTTTTCATTCCGTAGGATAAGTGGCTAACAGTTCCTCATGAAGCTTTAAGTGGTGGCACGATCGGAAGTTGGCCGACGTTCAAGATAGGGCTGTCAGCGGGTGGGGTCTGGGTCGAGTCTAAGTAGAAGCACTCTTGAATCGATTAGTAATCAGGACAATCACAGACCCAAAACTATTGATAAAAAAAAAAAAAACAATCACAGACCCAAAACCGTCGTTGTTAACATAAAATTTATGTTTAAACAATAACTTACAATAAAAACTGAACCAATTAATTGATAAAAAAAACTGAACCTGTTAAACTAAAAACTATGTTCTTTTTTAAATGGTAACTTAAAATTTAAATTTTGATCATATAACGCTAATAAAATTTGTAGATAAAAACTAAATTACTTGTATGTTAGAATGCTAAACACCTTTAACTATCTATCAAACTTGAGGCCTTAAACATATAATATGATAGTAATTATAAGAAAATGAAGGAAATATTATATATACCTAACAAAACAATCGATTTTGGGTATGAATCGGTTCGGGACAAGTGAGAATAGGAACCGACCCAATATTTCTCCGACATAATCAAGACACCAGAACCATTATAATTAGCTTGGTCTGTTCGGGCCCGTCAAATAGACCTGAACCGTTGATAGCTAGTGTTGTAGCAGGGTTGGTATCTCTTTCTCTTCCCCATCGGAATCCGCTCTTCTCGGTAAGGACCTCTCCAACACATACTCGATGTTCAAACTTCTGCTATTGTGGCGTATGATTCTAAAGCAATTTCAGTCATGTCATTGCAAGCGCATTCCTAGGAGTTCGCATTGCCAGTGTGGCATTGGGAATGACTGAACCACGTAAGCCAATGTTGTTTCTATATGCTAGAAATCTTTTAAAGCCCATCATTTCTTTATTATTGCTGTTATCCTTGTTATTCTTTTTAGTATACCAAACTGATCTGGAACATCTTTAGGATTGAAACTTCTTGGAGAATGCGCCAGCAAAGACGATTCAAGTGTTCGAATTGGAGCAGTAATGAGCAACGGCCTCGCATACGCTGGAGCCCAGAATAAGCCACTCTAACCATCTTCCTCCATGATCATTTCTAGAGTTATTTCTTCTACACCTGTTTGTGACTATTCTTGGCAGGTGAATGCCATGGTCGCACAAGGGAGACACATCCGTGATACAGATTCAGGAGTGGCACAAGTATGTTCTTGTTGTACAATGTCTGAAATCCAATCTCGCATTATTTCTACAAGATAGTGTTTGCTGGTTATGGAGGCGGCCATAAAATTCTTGGGTCTTATAGGTGCAGGCACCAAGAATGCTCAAATTGCAGGCATGTTGCGCAACCGCTCGAGGTATTACCATAAAGAAGCCGGTCCACTCTTTGGTGTAAGCTTTTCATTTCTAGGCTTCATTTGGCTTTCTCTTGTGGTTTTCCGAGTGTCACTAATTTTCTTAGGGTATATGTGAAGCTGCAGATTGCTCAAGGTCTTGTTCATTTCGGGAATGGCTTGTTGACTCTTGCATCTTTTCATCGTTTCTGGTCCTCGATGACACTGTAAGTAGAGGACACATTGCATGTTTAATGGACTTCCGGTCATAGATCCATCTTTTAGCTTTTTGCATGAAAATGTTCCATGTTTCTAGTGTACTGATTAGTTGGAGATTTATTTACATTTATTTGAACTTTGAAATTTGGGGCCTGTTGCAGGTTTGATCGCAAGGATTCTCGCAACAAGGGAAGCCCTGTTTCCGGAGTGATCACATTGTTCCTCTGTTTAGAAAGGATACCAGAGTCGTTGAGTTTACGAGATCCAACAGCTCCCCAGTATGGTAAACCCATGAAATGAGATTTGCATATTTGAAGTTTGAACCTTAGACATGCTACATTGTTGTAAAGTTTCAACTCAATACACACGCACTCTCTCACTTCATATGCCTAAATGATCTGGCAGATCTCATGTTCTCCAGCATCAAACCATGGAGCAGACAGAAAGATGGAAAGGACCACCTTCACCCGCTTGCTTGATCCAAATTGATCTTTCTATGATTATTGCTTGTTAGTGGTAGACTGCTAACTCCTAGGCAGTAGGAACAGTTCAGCCTTTATCGCCCTTGGCAGTGGCAGTCTGGCAGAGCGGTCTACTTACGGTCATCTGGAGGAGCCACTGCGTGCATAGAAGCTTAAGTTTTGCTAACCACCACGTTGCTGTTGAGACATTTTCACTGCAGTTGTCGTGACAAGACCAACTCAAATGTCATGATGCAGAGTCCAGATCACAACTTGTCAACAATCAAGTTACTATCACCGATTAGTTGTTTTTGTTTTGAGAAGAAAAACTGATGGAGAAATATATCCGGCTTTCCTAATTTTGTAGTGAAGAAGATCAGAATCATTCATGTTGACCCCAGAAGTTCAAACCAACTGTTAGAGCCCACCAAGTGTATGGTTGGGTGGAACTGGAATCCTATTTACTAGTGGAATGGCATTCCCCCATTTGAGGGAATGGCCATTTCTTAACGAAATTCTATTCCAGTTGGTTTTAATTCCCATTCTGATTCCTGTCTGAACCAAATAGATTGAGAATAGATCATTATGATTCCAACTGTGAACCAAATGCACACTTAATTGAATACAATAAATCTCCAGGATTTTTATCATTGCTCTTTTATTTTTGAGGTTTTAAAAGGTGGCTGAGTTATAGGGGGAAGAAGTGGTATATTTATTAGAAGTTGAAGGGATCAGAGTTAAAGGCCAAAACGAACATGGGTCCAAGTAGTGAAAATGACTTTAAGGGTTCATAATTTAGCAATGGATATGATACCAAACAGGACGAAATGACATAACAGGATTTATATAGCTGACCTTGTATAAGACCAATAATTGAAAAAAAAAGATTAATACTGCAATCAGAAGCTAAGCTCTGATTTTGTTTTTGGGATTAGACTTTCTCCTGGTTTTGGATGAATGTGGGGATTGTACTATAACCACTTAAAATAACAATAATATGTGGGTAATGATTTCCAACCTTTGAGCTTTAATTAATTAAGAATTGGTGTAGGTTACAAATTGTGAACGAATTTCCTAATTGATTAAGGAATAATAAGTGATGCCAAGTTTGTTGTTTGTATGACTTTTTTCTCATCTGAGTAGTTCAACTTAATTTGTATCTGGTGCATGTGCCAAAAACCTCAATATTCTAGGCTGTTGTAGCGATGGACCAACCCTTGAAATAATTATGTTTAGGCAATCATGATGGACGACCTTGGGTTCTAATTTTTTTATAGAGTATGACTATTACAAATAATCATTTGTTAACAATTTCCTACTTGATTTGCCAGTTATGGAATAGGCTGTGTTTGGTTGCATAGAAAATAGAGGAAAACCAATGATATTTAATGGAAAAACTGTTGTTAAAAACCAACCCGGAATCAGAACTACTTTGGCCACCGCTTGTCGGTCAATGGTTTGCCCATCTGGTCCAAATGGATGGCTCATTACAACTTAAAAAATAATAAAAAAAAAACTGTCAAAAAAATGTTGTCTGGGTCCAACAGGTTGATGGTTTGACGATCTAGGTCAGTGGATCATTAACCAAATCAATGGTTTTTAGCAAAAGAGCAGTTCAGGGGTGAAACTTAACCAGTTGCCTGGACAGTTTCCAGGCCGAATGGTCTGGCCGTCTGGATCAATGACGGTTCAAAAGCATGGAAAAATCAAACTACATAAGCTTGTAGTCACTTATTCACAGTAACCGTGGTAAATATGAAAATAAACTAGCTTGAATTCCAATTGAATAAATTACATTAAATAATTAGAACAGGAATACTTCCCTAAAAGGCACCACAAATTGAGCTAAAAACTTGAAATTACAGACTCGATGATTAAACTACTAATTAAAAGCTTGACAGAACTAGAGTTAACAGCAATCTGAGAGAAGAAAAATAATAACATAAAACCAAGCCTTAGGTAGATAAAGCCCCATAGGAAAGGTGAGAATGTTAGCATGGCTTGAAAGATTGACGCTTCAAATCAATGAATTGCCCTGTTAATCCATAAAATCATTTTTCAACTCCTGTGGATCTTTTTCCTCGAAAGATAACCCAACTTTGTAGATAGGTACTGTTTTTGTTGCCAAGAATCTGATATTTTCTTGATTGTTACTAAGCAAGGTTGAAAGCATACTCTGGAGAAAGATCTGAAAAATCTAGACATTAGCTTCTCAACTCTGATTATCATTAGCTTTAGAGGTTCTCTGTTTTTGTTTCTATTAAGTCTGAATTTGATCCAAGGTTGAAAGCATAATCTGGAGAGCAATCTATATAATTAAAAATGCAGTCAAATATCTGAAAAACTCAGTCCATGTGGCAATTAATCAACAATTGGTGGCATGAGACAACTTTAACGAACTAACAGTGCCTTTTGTTTATGACAATAGAAGAAACGACTTTCAGTCAACTGTAACACAAATGAGGAGCTGCTCTGAAAATCCTAGTAAACTGCCGCACTGTGCAGCCTCTATCATTCAGTGTCACATATGCCTGTACCTGTGACTAACAATTTAAGATAGAATCATAGAAAAACAGACTTCTACCTGCCAATGTATGTAGATCCTATGCATCCTGTTGTGCTTGTCATGAAGAGAAAGTATGTGTGCTTGGAATGAGAGTTTTTCTTTTCAGGAATTCCTTTTAGAAACAACTTACCACTTAACAACAGGTATATTATTAATTTACTCCTAATTTTATCCAGGAATTTCCAGAAAACTTCCATATATTTTATTTCATTTGGATGCTTCAGGAAATACCCATATAACAAAATTTCTGATGTCCTTAAAAAATATGAACGAATTAAAGTTTGAGTTTTCATGCTTTGTAAGATAGTTCAAATTCCAAAATAATAGAAACACAGATATATCTTTTCTGCACTGTACAAATACGAATATGTAGAGGCCCCCAAATCCTCCATTAAAGAGGCCCCCAAATCCTAACCCCCATCACATCTCTATATCTATTAACAAGACTCAGTTTGGAAAGAGTACAAATACAAATACGTAGAGTGCAAAAGCTTGTATTTTGCATCATTTTGTATGTATTTGCACTGTACATATTTGTATTTGTACTCTTTCCAAACTTCCAAACTGAGCCTAAGGAACTTATGGAAAGCACAGTCAGCTCAGAAACTTGCTGACTTATTTTCAGTGGGTACAATTAGAAGAACATATCTTGCACTCTCATTTGAATTGAATGGTGAAACAGGATTCATGTAGCCAACCCCATATAGTTGGTAATTGGGATAAGACTTAGATGATGATGATGGTATCTTGTGCTTTCATTTCCACGAGTAAGAATTGTGTTGTTTACAATGCCACCAATTGTAATATCATTACATCAGGATTTATTTGTCATCAATTAGATGGTAAATCACTTACTAGTCTTTGAGATTCATTTAATGAACCTCGATTACTAGTTGTTGGTCCTAGCTATCTAGGGTCTTGGTAGGGATGCACTGGACACGGACTGATCCTCAGCATTTTTTTGCACAAGTGTCCGTTCTCAGATTTGAACATGTGTTTTCATACTTGTCACACTGAGAGTTTACTATTGCACCAACCACCAAGTAATGGCCCCTAAATTTCTCATCCCTCTATAGTTAGTAGGCACTTCCCAATTCCCATCTGTTGTCAATGACTACTTTCCTGTATCACATGCTTGGCTGTTTTTCTCTGTTAATCAGTCTTCAAATGCTACCCAAAGTATTTGCCAAAAAAAATAGCTACCCAGAGTACAATGAGATACAAATTGAACTCAGGGAAAACAGAAGACCAAAGAATAGTGGGGGATAAAATAGATTTTGATTCAATGATGACGCAGGAAAAATGACTGGTCATGATATCATCGGCTCCATTGACCATGTAAATCTGGTTCCCAGTAATTGCTATATTCATTTTCATTTATTAAAACTGCAAACCTATTTGGATATAGTCAACACAGGATTTTTACGACTACAGGACTCTTCTGGAGACGAGTCACTTCCAATCATATAACAAGAAATAGGAACTTTATTACATGGGACATTACACTAACCAATGAAATCAACCCATCCAACTTTGTTTGCACCCATGACCAACCAACGATGCAGGAGGTGCTCCAAAGTACTATCCACTGAAGTAAGCCTTGATATGCATTCAGTTAGAGACAGATCAAACAGTTTCTAAACATAGACATTTCTTCTCAAAATCTAAGATAATAGAAAACAAGGGGCTTTTAGGTCTTAGAGTTGGATCAACTGACATGCAAGAAGTGTTTAATTATGCTATATCTCATTCTCATTGTACAGAGTGATTAAGAGTTCTGTTATTATCCCCAAAAAAACCATTAGAAAGTAAACATATAAAGCAACTGTTACAAGAACATCCAGAAGCAATAATCCATGGGAAAAAAGGATCACATACCATGAAAAGTATATTGGATTCTCAAATCTCTTTAAATGGTAATTTAGTATGGGAACTAAGTTACATGATATACCAGCTAAAAATATCATCCATCTATTTGTAGGAGGTGCAAATGAATCCTTTACAAAAAACCTCTTCAACAAATGATAATGGATTATAATTGAATTATTCTAAGACACGACTCTAAAAGCCGTATCCTAAAGAATTGCAATCTCAAAGGACCAAAACAAAGAGGGGAGACCTTTAACTATTGGAAAAATGTGGTGCCCGCAAGGCCATGGTGTAGGAGGTTGTGAGCAATGTTATCCCTAGCCTGCATTGAACTCACTGATCTGAGTCTGCTTTCAGGGACCATTTCATCATCAATAAGCTCAAACCTGAGATCAGGACCCATTACTTCGTTCCTCATCTCACAGATGTTGTGTAATACACAGCATGCCCCAAGAACCACTGGCAAGTCCTGGAGTTTCACCTCTGTCCGTTTCTGCAGGCAACTCCACCTCCCCTTCAATCTGGTGAATGCCTCCTTAGCAACGCATTGAATCTCCCCAATTTTCTCATTGAAGGCGTGTTGCGTCCAAGTGAGATGTTGGTGGGTATAGGGAACCAAGACCCAATCCATTAGAGGGTAGCCTGAACTCCCGACAATCCAATCACCCTTCAACAATCCTCCATTTGCCCGCTGATAGAGCGCGGACTTCTCCAGAACTTGGTCATCAGGCATCGAACCAGGCCAACCAATGCAAACGTCCGTAAACACCCCTCTTGGGTCGACAACTCCCTGAACTGTAATCGTGTAAGAAGTCTTCTGGTTACGCTCTGTGTGCCGCCTATTGAAATAGGCCGCCACACTGATCTTTGGAGCTATAATTGGGACATGGGTGGTGTACATGGAACCAACAACATTGGGTATTCCAGAAATGGATTCAAACTCATTCCTAATATTCTTCAGTTTTTCCTCATCAGGCCATTGAAGAAATTTGGGCATGAGAACAGTCTTTATGGCCGAACAGACTTCAAGAACAAGCTTGTGACAAGTTGATATACCCAAACCAAATCGCTTAGAGACAAGGCGAAGAGGCTCACCCGTGGCTAATCTCCAGATGCAGACAGCGACCCTTTGTCGAACGGGAATCGCAGCACGAAGCATGGTATCCTCCTTGGCAACAACGGAATTAAGCTCTTCGCAAATCATGTCGAAAGTAGCCCGCCCCATCCGAAACGCCCGCTGGAACTCTTCTTCCGGGAAATCAGGATGGTTACAGCGATCCCACCACGCTCGCGACCTATCCTTGACCCATAACCGGCGGTGGTGACCAGTGGCGGCACCACCACCAGCTCGAATTGTGGCATCGGAAGTGGACGCAACAGCGGCAGCAGCAACAGCAGAAGCAGAGAGACGGGAACGCTTGGTCCTCAGCTGGTCATCTGACTCCTCCAAATCAGAGTAATAACCCTGCAAATTGTTATAATAATCGAGCATGGCTTGACTCCTCTGTTTGTAATTGGACTCAATAATCTGTCTCTCCTGCTGATAATCATTGCTCCACTCTTGTTGATCCAATTTTTCTTGCTCCTCCAATAAAAGATAAGAAGAAAGAATCTCTTTAACCCTATTCTTGTTGTTGGGCGTCGTTATTTCCTCTTCATCAGCGCTATCCCCTTCACTCACTTTCCTTTTCCTCCAATTGTCACCGACATTTCTTCCAGTGGTGGTTGCCGCCGTGGGGTTGGTGTTCATTTCGTTGAGAACGTCTTGAAATAAGCTGAAGAAATAAGAGTAGTCCTCTTGGGCTGGGAGAGGCAGAGAACCTACATTTATTTCATTCATATACTACTTGGTGGGGAGGAGAGAGAGAGGGATTGTTGTCAATGTGTGTTGTATGGATAATCTGTGAATGTGAACGCAAGAATGGCAAGGGGCTGAACATATATAAAAAGGGTGTGGCCTGGGGAGAATAGAATTGAGGAAGGGTCAAGGGTGTACAAGTGTGAACGCGGTTCCAGGGAAGAAAGCGTCTGGTTACCGGTAGGTGGGTACGAAGGTCAGAATTCAGAACTCAGAAGGTGTCCTTGATTGTAACGACGCACAAACAAAAACGCTGTTACTACTCGCTCGCTTATTAGTTATTACATCCTCTCTCTCTCTCTCTCTCTCTCGATCTCAATCTCGGTGATCTAACTGACAACAGAACAGAAAAGAAAAACGTTTTTCAAAAAACAAAGAAAACAGTTCAAGTTCAACGTTTTGACTTTTGATTATGGAGGAGGACTGAGGAGCAACCGCGTAACACGAGGAGGTGCGAGCTGCGAACTGGCGTAGCGAAGGGATCTACCTATCTTCTGCTCTTCTACGTCTACGGGGAAATGAGGAAGAAAATGGATGTCAATGGAACCGAGATGATCCGGGTCAGGGTCTAAATAAAGTAATTTTCAAGAAATCCTTTTACATTTTACATTTTTATTTATTTTTGAAAAGAACCCTGTCGGCGCCAATATTTTAAACATTTGTCCTTGTCCTGATAGCTACTCGTCCAATCCACTCTCGCTTGTGGTACCGCGGTTGACGCGGTACGGTTTACGGTCACGTGGTTGCTGCTGACACGAAAATATTAGGGAGGGACCCTCTACCCACTGGTCGCTGCTGACTGCTGAGTTCTGACGATTTGACGGTCGAATTCCGTCGTAACTCGTAACACAGAAGCCCCGTTCGTTTCATCTTATTTGATTTTTAGGATTTTGAAGGTAAATAATAAAATGATGTTTTATCCATGAAAAGTAATTCTTAAAATGAGTAAAATAGTCTGGTTTGATTTTATAAAAATTATAGGTGGAAAAGTTATTTATCCACTTAGAAGATGGATAAATTTTAGGTAGGAAAATAAAGATATTTTTAATGTAGGGTACATTGTTTAATGCAAAAAAAAAAACATGGAAAAATTGATCCATTAACCAACTTTCACTTGCATATTTATCTGCAAATGAATCAGTCCAGAAAAGAAATAAAAATAGTATGGAATGTAATATCAGTCAAAATTTAGGGAGAATATCCGGTCAACCCAGTTCAGAATTCTTTAACCTTATTGATGCCAAATCCTCCACGAACAGGATGCGATTTATGGGGCTATTGGTAAATTATGTGAGTTGCAGAGTATTTTTCCCCCAAATTTTATGATATATTATTGCCAAGCCACACATCCGAAATATCTCAACACTTATAATTGAGGCGTTTAGAAGGGTTTTCATGCAGTGGCTTATAACTTTAGGAGGATTTCCAACAGACTACGACTCATGTTTGGTAAAACTCCCAAATTGACTTTCTAAGCCAAAAACCTTTGAAAGCAGTTCAGTGAAAGCAGCTGAAACAATGCTTCAGTACTAAAAAGACTTTTTTAACCTTCCCATACTTTCCCTACTCTTTCCTTAAAACCAAACACAGCTTTATTAAAAATGATGATAACTAGATCAAAAAGAGGTCAGGACTCAAGAGCCATGCCTATCTGATGATGCAGAAGAAAAGAATTCCAATTTGTGAATACTAGTTTCTAATTGGCATGCAATTTGGGGTTCATCAAAGTCTTACTACTTCACTTCGAATTTCTTTTGACCGAAAGAAAGAAAATGAAATGCATATTTTTCAACAAATCCCATCCATTCCATTAGAAAATTTTGTTGTGCAGATGTCAACCATTATATTGGGCTGTTCTGTGTTCGGTTTGATACAAGACAAAAATAAAACAATTTTTAAGGAATTTTGTGAAAATTTTTAGAAGGTGACAGCGTACAATGCACAATGTTTACAATAAATGATGCTGAATTGTACGTGATGGTGACTGTTTATACGTAGTAGTTTTCAGAATTTGGATTTAGTTAACGTGATGGCTGTGTAATGGGCCGTGGTGGAATCAATGATAAGGCCTCACATCAGCTATAAATGCTAAGTGAGAGATTGAATGGTGGTAGGTCATACGCATTTTATGAATGGTATGGGCCATTATCATTGATTCCACAGCCTTCTACATAGCCATCGCATTGAATTAATCCAATCTAAATTTTCAGCTTTACAGCCCATTTTACACCATCCCAAGGTGTGCATGATTTAAAGGGACAATCCGTTTGGATTAAATGAAAATTTTTAAATTTCAATAATTGAATTAGGACATCTCTACGACGGATATTATCATATTATTCGTCAAAAGTGGCCACATGTCCTAACTCCAATACCTAATATATAAGTGGGTTCAAAGACCATATATTAATGTATGAACTCGGATTTCCTACCCATAATACAATCTAGGCACATATCTCATAATTCAAGATGGCGATGTGTAACTGTAATTCATGACGGGTAGATTGTGGGTAGAGAGTAGTGAACAAGAAGTTTGTGTAACTGTATAATATACACATATATTTTGACCTTGAACCAAACCCTCCCCCCTCTTCTCAAAAAAAAAAAAAAGAAATAGAAAAGTATGGATAGGCCCAATGCAAATTTCTGAATTCCACTGCGAAACTATAAACATCTAGAATGTCAAAAACCCAAACTTCATACACCAATGTCCACCCATGAATTGACATCAATTTCGAGTTGGCACCCACCCCAATTGTACTTTAACCTAAAAGTTCTTACCCTGGACTAAACCATCATTCTCCCAAAAAAAAGAATAAATTAAAGATTTGGGCAATTCAATATATAAACATTTGATTGGATCTTGATTGACTCCCAATTAAACAAGGTGTTTCATGGATTAGGTCTGTGCCTTCTCAAAACAACTAAATTAAGGAACCTTTTTCGCTGTTCAAACATGAAAATTAGATTACAACAAGGTAATTCAACTTGGGTAAAAAGAACTGGTGTCCTCACCAAAAAAAACATATTTGTTAGACATGACAATAACTCATGATTCAGCGTTGACACCTGCATGTAATGGTTGAATATATATCTTGTGGATTTGGCTAAATTCATTGTTCACGATGAAGAAATCTTTTTATTTTGATGGGTGATTAGGAATTATATTTATAAAATTTATTTGATGTCTTCATATAGGCTTGAGTACTGTTTTTGTTTTTGACATAAGACTATGAAAGACTTCCGATTTTACCTATATAGGGTTTTGTTTTGATGTATTGTTTTTCTTTATTTTGTCTTGTGGGTTGGGTTGAGAGGGTGAGGTTGTATTATTTATATTTGGATTTTGGGGCACGACGGATTACGTCTTGTCTTCCCCTTTATTAATCTTTCTCGCTTATAATGGTTGATTAATAAAATAAAATTTTAAGATGAACGCCCCTCCACCTGGAATAAATTAAGTTAGGGGTATTAAATTTATTTTATATTTGACTTTATAAATTTATGTTAGTTTCATATAATATTTACAGATATTTTAATTAAATTGAATTTGGATTTTATCATAGGAGACTCATGTCACCTCTATTCAAATTCGATCTAATTCATTTGTAGCCCTATACATAAGTAACACAACAGCTAATGCCTTAGGGTTTAAGGGCTCATTTTGGGAATGCTGAAGCCTTTGGATTGCTTTCTTCTAGTTCTAGCTGCTTTGAAGAAGACAAAAAGTATTTTTTGGCTGAATTATAGCGAAAACAATTCTTAATTTCTTATATGCTATCTGGATGACTATAAAAATCCATCTAGAATATTTTTTATTCTATTTATATGTAAAATATATATAATAGATTTTTAGTAGCGTTTCAACCGCTTTTTTTCTTCATTCTTTCTTCTTTCTTTTTAAGGTGAATCAAACTGTATTTGATTGATCCAATATCACAATTTTGATACCGTCACTATAGCCATTGCCCCGGAATCGGATCTACTCCTCACACTTGGGTGTCTCACATGCACATTCACCGTGCATTGGGAATATCTCCCGTGAATAATAACTTAAAAGTACAGGAAATATTCCCAATACATGTGAGGCACGTGTGAGGCGCCCTTTATGGCGTATGCCCCCTAAAGTGGCAAGTTAAAACCCTCCCGAACAACCGAATGGGCACTAAGGGTCATGGGGTCCCCCCACTTGGGTGTCCCCTTGGTGCCCTGTAGTTCTTATTTATTTAGAAATATGAAGGAAAGAGTTAAAGTTTGCCTAATTGACTTTTACATTTGAAAAAGAGATACGGGATTGGCAATGGAAAAACTTTAGCTGTTGAGAGAATTTCTGGGAATGCCACGTTACCCTGAGAATGGGTAAATTAGTAATTACACCTTAATTTATTTTTACTAAAAACCAAATTATGGGCGTAAATAGGTGAACTGCCCAGAATGTGCCCAGCCCAGAAACTGTCTCAACAGCCTATGCTGTTTGGCCCCAACAGCCAAAGTTAGCCCATAGGCAATGGATTATAGAACTGTTCATGCGCTCTAGATGTCCCTATCCTACAGCTGTGCCCACTTTGCTTTGTCCACATCAGCACTATATGCTACAGACAAGCCTTACGATAATTAGGACTGCCAAGTGCCAATGTATTGAGTCTGGATTGGCTGGAGACAAAATCATGCACAACGGGTTGGGTAATCTATTACAAGTGAATATACCATAGTTTCGTATGTATAAGGTGTAGGCCCCATTTGAATAGGTGTGAGCATTATTTGGTTAAAATCGAATTAACCGAACTTTATTATATATATATATATATTAAAATATATAATTTATTATATATATTGTATTAATATATAGTGTTGACATTCAGTTTTAACCAAAAACCAAATCGAAAATTTCAGTTTCGATTGTTTCGGTTTTTCAATATTTCGACTTCAGTTCAGTTTTTCATTTAAAATTTTGGTTTATTTGATTTGGTTTTTAGCCAAATAGACCATTTGCTCACCCCTACATCTGGGCCCCATGTGTACAAAACGTGGCGTGTTCGCTCCTAATAAGTTGCCTAGACCACTCTGCATGATTTTATCTCCAATCTGATTTGCAATGTCTCAGGTCTGAACGAGATCAAGGTAGAATTGGTTCTGACCCAATAAGATAAATACATAGAACTGATCTGAACTAAAAAACTATAGGGTTTGCAAGTACTAGACCTAGAACTTACCCTATTACTAATTAGTCTAGAGGTTGGAAATTTCATAATAAACATGTAATATCTCTCGTTTTTTCTTATCAAAATATCTTATATACTCCTTTTAAAATTATACTCTCAGGTTATATATTTGTTGCACTTAAATTAAAATTTCAGTTAATCACATTTAAGACATTACATAATCTATTTATTTTTCATTGATTCATACCAAGGTTTAAAGTATCAATACATCCCGATACGACAGAAAGGGTGTATAAATACTTTAAATCCCACATGAGGGTTAATTTAAGGCATGCCCATCCCCTGAATAGGTTTTGACCCCAAAAGACCTGGATTTTGCATATCAATAGATGACTGATACAATACAATATGCATGATACAACGCATATTGTGTCGAAAATGTACTTTCACATTTTACAAGATGTACTTACCATTAGGCTATGTTTGATTTTAAAGAAAATAAGAGAAAGATAGAAAGTTGAGGGAAAGATCTTAATAGGTTTTGTGAGATTCTTTCAGAACAATTTCCTTCAACTTTCTTTCTCTCGTTTTTTTCAACCAAAACAAACATAAAGAAATAGAACGTTGAGGGAAAGTTCTCATTTCTCAACAAAATTTATGAAATTGTTGAAGAACTTTCCCTCTCAACTTTATGTTTCCCTTTTGTTTTCTATTAAACCAAATACAGCCTTAAAGACTTCAACAGCTTAATATGACATATCGCTTTTTCACTCGTTTGTTTACGCTTTAGTTGTTTTGCAGGCAAATACCTATAAAGAATTATATAATATGTTTAAATGTTAAATGAATAATTGCATTGTATGCGTGTTTGTATATATACACTTCTGTAATGTTTGGTCTGGTTCAAAAAACTCAGAAAATTACAGTCTAATAAATTCTTAGATCAAACTACATCATTTTTAAGATCAGACCAATTGTTCCGATTTGGTAGTCTATATTAGGGGTGTCAATGGACTGGTTTTGGGTTGGATCCCGTCCAAACCAAAATCAATTTAGATGGATTGGATGGACCAACAAGAGATATTGAATTAGACAAATCCGGACTTAATGGTCCATGGTATTTATTGGATTGGATTGGACTTGGTCCATCTATAATGAATTCATATTGGATTGGGTTGGATTGAGTCATTATCTGATCTATTGATATAACATATAAAATACGAATATAAGTGTCAATAGACCATGTTTGAGTTAGAACCAATCTAAATTAAAACGAATTTGAACAGATTGGATGAAACATGAAATTGGATTGCTCCAAAATATTCATTAGATTGGATTGGACCTGGTCCATTTGTAATAGATTCACCTTGGACTAGATCATCTTGGACCAAATCCTATCCAATTGATAACCATACTCTAGACCATATAATAAACCCTCCTAATTGGCGCTGGTATTCATCAAAATTCACTAGGGAAACAAAGTTCTGATTGGTCAAAATTCTTTGGGTATAATACCTTTCTGGCACCATAGATATATGTGGAGAAAAGGAAACTAGCATATTGGATCTACTTTTGCAACTTTATGGCTAATGAAGCCCACATATTACATATGCTTTTAAATGGGTGGTGGAGACCCCTTTAAAGCATTTCCCGTATCATGTCTTTCCGACAGCATAGATTTTTCCTTTTATCTAAAACGAGATCGGCTTCAATGCCCATAAGACCATGTTCACACCATTTTGCACAGTCCCTTGCAGTCTTGCATTAGGAATAACTACTCCCTATAAAAAAAGCATACAAATGCAGAGATATTTCCAATGCAAGGCTGCAAGGGACCTTATTAAAAGTGTGAGCACAGTCTTGCGAGCATGAAGCCGATTTCATCTAAAAGTGAGGAGACATGCCTGGATTTGCACGTGTTTTGGTTTCTGACACGGTTCAGACCTGAGACACACCCGGTCAGATCCGGTTCTGCATTTGGGTATGAGTATGGAGTAGGGAGTTGGGAAGGCTCTTCCAACAACAATTACAGCTCGAATTCTCTCCGGCTTATCCACCAGCCGGACCTCTTCTACGCAGATGGTCAAGGTTTTCCAAGATCAAACGCAGTCTAACGCTGTGCTTGATGACGTTGCTTGTATGATGCTTGGATGCACCAGGTCGAGTCTCAACTCTCAATGTGACCGCTGCGGCGAAGGAGGTTGTCGTCGGTTAGAACTTGGAAGGCTCATTTGTAGTATAATGTCGTATGACAGTGCGAATCTGATCACACCTGATATCAAGTGGTTAGGGCGACTTGGACCAAGCATTATAAATAGGGTAAATTACAAAGATCTCTCCGTACTATGGGGTTTTTTATAAAAACTCTCTATACTTTATTTTGTGATAAAAAGCTCCCTTATACTATAACCGTGAGACAAAGCCCCCTTCTGTTAGTTTTCCGTTAAAATTCACCATTTTAATTCCCATGCTACCCTCTTAATAAATATTCAAATAATTGGAAGAAAAGCATTGTTCATCTTCCCCCAACCACACTGTACACGAACAGCAGCAGCGATAATCCCCTTTCTCTCCCCGCTTCCCTATGTTTTCCGTTCCTCTCAGTCACAGCCGCCAACTCATTGTCGAGATGCTCAGCCGACAAGCAGTTTCTGAGTTTCAGTAAACAACAGTTATGAGTAGTGAGTGAAAACGGTAAAGTTCACGGCCTTCGATTGACTTAAACAGTTCTGAGGCAATGCTTTCTCTTCTCCCGAGTTCATCGTCGTCTCTGAAGGTGTTAATCCCTCTTTGAACCAAAGCGCTGTAGAGATGATCAGAGAAGTTTTATACGAGTGCCTTCGCCTCTGAAACTCAAGAGTCAAGAAGACATCATAATTCCAACGAGTAGTACTAGTAGGGGAAGGAGACCATGGAAAAGCTACCCGTGTTCTCTCCGCCATGGAAGCACGAAAGTAGCTCCTGGAGATCAAGCAACGTCTTCAGACCCAAATCCACTGGATGGTGGATGCTTCTCGATTCTGAAATTTGATCCAAGTAGGGATGCAGTGGATTGGGTTAAGTGGTGAGTCCGCCTTGCTCCGATCGGATGTCAGGTTGGTTTAATCAAATCAATCTTCGGTAAATCCATCTTGATTTCCCAATTCCTATGTAGCTCCAGGAATTCAGAACAACCAAAAGTTACGGATAGTGATCTTCTCTTCAAAAGGAAAGAGCTGCTCTAGCTGGTGTTCACCTGAGCTTAAAGAGCTTACCCTGCTTGATCTGTGGCCGTCAGCAGAAGCCGACTTTTTCTGCTTCTTAGGATCTGTTTTCAGCTGCTTTGAACGACTAACAGCCGGCTGACGTTGCAAGAGTCAACCACCATTCACCAATATCAAATTCACCATAATCACCAAAGCCGAAGCCGACAATGCCCCTTCTTTGTCGCCGCTGCTGTTTGTATCGTGAGATCGGGGAAGATGAACAGTGCTTTTCTCCATATTTTTTATAAGGGTAGTATGGGAATTAAAACGGTAAATTTCAACGGAAAACGGAAGGAGGTTTTTGTGTCACGGTCATAGTACAAAAGCGTCTTTATCCCAAAACAAAGTATAGGAGGTCTTTGTCTAATTTACCCTTATAAATAAAATACCTGAACAATGTAGGTTGCCCATGCAAGAGCAAGATATTAAGACTGATTAGAGGAAGATTTTGTGAAGAAAAACAGACTACTGGCGTTGAGTTAATTTGGCTTTCAGTACTTGTCTCAAGTGTACGTATCTGCCACTGAAGCTACAATGGAAAGATTGCTTATGACTGTGGGAAAAACAGACTACTGGCTCTTGCTTTACTTGGTCTCCTATTGTAGGAGAAATAAAAAATCATTAGTGATATTTCTGTCTGTTGCAATAGAAGTGTGAGTATCGATTTCCATTGCTGTCATTCTACTTGGTTTTTCAATGTAAGGACCAGGGGATGGATTGGTTGTTTATGTCCTGTTTAGTAAAACAGATCATACGGACCAGAGGATGGATATACAGAAAGACATCTCAAAGTAGTGCTGTTTTGCATTCAAGAATTCTTCCTTATCATGCATGTCCTTGATAACTGCAGTACTTTGCGTCTGGCATATGGAAAAAAGGTTCCAATTTATAATATCCATAAGATGTTTGCAATGCTATTCATCAATGGGAGTCTAGTTCTTAGTCCCAATCTAATGCTTTGAACATAATCCTCAACAGAACCAATTAGCCTCTTCATTCATTCATCATCATCATCATCGTCATCATCTAAGCTTTGTCCCAATTATATTCCTTCATTCCATCCTGTTCAGTACCATATCCATTGTTAAACTAACCTCTTCATTACGACCTTAATCAACAGTAAAATGCAACTTATTGCTGATAGAAAAGATACTAGATCAATAAATGCAAATTAGAATTTTTATTGGCAACTCGATCTGGCCTTTGGAATACCTTAAACTGCAGAATTACATGCATAACAACACATCAAGCGGCAATTCGATCTATGAGAGATGGTGTGCAGTGCATCTTGAACTCTCAGGGTTCCAGCCCCTAGTTTCAGGAAAACCACACTGACTTTGATGGTGGCGCCTTATCAATAATACAGGTTGGATTTTCCCTAGGCTATTTTTGGCCACACTGCACACTTATGCAGAATTTGATACGGTTTAAACATATAAACAAATTATGATGGCAAAGCATGCATCACAATCACAATGCCTTTCTTTCTAGTTTATTTTATATATGCAAGATTTTGTTTGACTGTCTAGCTACAGTTGCACATGCACTGCTAAAACATTAGTCACAAAGATGATACTTTGTCAATTAATTTTCTCATGCTAATAATGGACGCTCTAAAGAGCACAAACAACAATATACAGTCTGCATTCTGTCATTAAGTGTTTCTCTTTCATTGCCTTCCAGTATTTACATCATCACTGAGTATTTTAACAGATTTTTTATGGGCTTTATTGGGATTTCAATAGCCTGGGTCTTCAAGCCAATGATGCTGTACTGTAAGAAAAGGCTGCATAAATGTTTTCCCTAAACATGCCAATAAATTATTTATTTTACTTATAAAATATAAAATGGAAAAATTGTTTGCAAACCGCTCTTATTCATCCATCTTCTGGAAACCTTAAAACATGTATTTATTTCTCCTATTGAGTTTGATAAGATGATTGGTCCTTGAATCACTTGGATTTTTTTTTTTCTTTTGTTCTTCATTCTTCAAAGCCCTGGCTAATCACTTGGATTTTTTTTCTTTTGTTATAGCTTGGCTTACAACAGGGAAGGTGTCAATAATACTGATCTAGACTGGAGGATGCTAACATGCAATTTTGCCAGCTTCTTCATTATTTGTTTGGCCAGCTAAACAGCTGTTGGTGATGGCAGGCCTACATCATTTGGAGAGTAGACACTGTACTCTCTTTTTTCAATCTTCAGTAAAGCATTGTCTCTGTTGCTGATGAACAAAGCGCTCACTAAACATTAAAATTCAGAGAGATGTTAATAGGAAAATTTTGGATGCATTCATTTATATCAGCTACCTTTTGGGGAAAACAGAAAAAATATATATATATATTGCATAAGGGTGTGTTTAGGGACTGTTGTTGCATGATGCTGACCATCTACTCTGTGCCCACCTGTTATTTTCACTTGAGCTAAGGTGTTAACAGTATTGCAAGAATTAAGGATGGCAAAATTCCTCAACTATAATAATCTTTGTGGTGGAGGGAGATTCTAAGTCTAAGGTGGTGGTGGTGGTGGAATGGATTAAAAACAAAGGACCTTGGATGTACAGGCACATCATAAGGTAATGCAGCTGGCTAGGGAAATAGGAACATATTCACTTGGGTTAAGAGATCAGCCAATGGATTGGCTTACACCTTAGCTAGGCAAGAGGCTCTTCGACAAGAATTACATTGTGGCTGGGTTTCTCATAGAGATAGAACTGTACCTTGAAAGATAACATCTGGAAGGGGGATAGGTAATCTGGATAATTGGACTAACCTACCAAAGAAGGATTCATTGGGAAAAGGCGACTTTTTGGGGTTCTCTTCAAGTGGATCAGGAGAACAGCTAATGGTTTAGCTGACTCGCTGGCAAAGCAAGGAACTGCTAGGGAAAATCTGTTTTGGGCTGTGCTGTAATTTGTGAATTAATTGTGGAGTCCATGGGGTCAGCATTCCAGTAGTGAGTGCTTGACAGTTGTACTCTATCTTTTTCAGTAATGAAAGCTACCCATTTCAAATAAAAAAAGACCTTGAGAAATTTCTAAATATGGGAAATTGGGAGGTAGTGTAGCAGAGAAGAATAAAAATAACGGTCCATTTGGTTGCCGAGAAATAGTGGGATGAGAAGAAATGAGATGAGAAAGGATGGGATAAGAAAGAAAAATTTTATTTTCTTATTTTTGGTCACTATGTTTGTTTGCTGAGACTTACTATCCTACAGAATCTGCTTCCAACGTTTGGTTGATGAGAGCTGGCAGATCTGCAAGAGAAGTTTATGTTGTTAGGACAAATAAATCGTGAAAAAATAAATAAATTCATATTAGATTTGTAACAAAACACTTTTGGTTTAGTAGATCTATACAATGAATAGGGGTTTATAGCAACAAAAAAATAAAAGGGTTTTAGATCTAGCAACCCAATAGCAAAGGGTTAGCAAATGGAAAAGATATGGGAAGAAGATGAGGATGAAAACTGACCTTCGTAGAAGATGAGGATGAGAACTCCGGTCTCCAAAGATGAACCCGTGCTCCTTGTCCGCTAAGCACCTGAAACACATGGAAGGAAAAAATGTTCTTGATAAAAAGTGCAAAAAAAAAAACGTGAATGATGTGTGAAACGGAATCCTATCTCCTTGCCGTCTGAGAAGACGAAGACAAGGTTACCTTCACCGGAGAGAGGAAGTGGAGTGAGATTGCTAGTTGCACCCAGACCAAAACAGGAATGAATTTGTCTTGGACCCCTCCACCAGCTGGTTTCTTAAAACTAAACTTTGATGAGAGTAGTAGAGGGAATCCTGGACACTCGGGAATTGGGAGTGTGTTTAGGGATGAGAATGGGATTGTTTCAGCCATCTTCTCAGGCCCAATTGGAGTGGGTGATTCTCTCGGAACCGAGATCTATGCAGTTATGGAAAGAGTCCAGAGAGCTAAGGAGATGAGTATAAGAAAACTTACAACTGAAGGGGACTCAGAGGTGGTGGTAGGGTGGCTGAATAAAGATAATAGTGGGTTATGGAATTACAACAATGAGAGGAGGAAATTTAGGTGGTTGGTTCAAGAGATGGAAGTCAAGATCAGTTGGGTGAAAAGATCAGCTAACTCTTTTGCTGATGGGTTAGCTAAACAAGGGGTGGAGAGGGATTCTAAGCTTTGGGCTCAGTTGTAACTCTTTTTTCCTTTCTTGGGGGCTCAAGCCTCAGCTGGAAGATAAGAAAGTTTATCTTCCCCTTTGTAATTATTTTTCTGATTAATTAATTAAATGTGTTATTGATCAAGAAGACAAAGACGATATCTTGTCTCCTTGTCGTTTGAGATCTGAGATCGAAGTTGATGGAGGAAGAGAAGGGTATTTTTGGTGGAATAAAACACCAAATAGCGTGAAATGGAATGTGAGTACTTACCGGAGGCCGTAAACCTCGCCAGAGATGAAAGATAGGGTGGTTGGAGTTCGGACCGTTGCAGAGGTGGGAGATGAGAATAGTCCACCCTCTACAAAATTTTCTCACACTCGTCACGCAACTTTCGTTTCTCACTAGGGTCACACCTATTTGGTGAGACCCCGCGTCCCTTATTTTGAGAACACTAATCCCATCTCATCACATCATATCTCTCGAAACAAACATGATCCACGTCGCGCGAACCAAACAGACTGTAAAGGTGAACCTTTTGCTAGTATTGTTAGAAGCATTGGATATAGATCTAATCAATAGAATTTATTAGTGAGAAAAATACCTTACAAATGATTTAATGAGAGAAAATGAGAGCTAATACCTTGAATATAAAAGTTAATGATAGAAAATATAATGAGGTGAAATCCTTTTGCTGATTATTAAGTTTAAATCTTTAATTATTAATGAAACCCTTTTGCTGATAAAAAAATAGAATGAGGTGAAAAGTAGTAGTTCAAATTACACTATCTGCCCTCACAACCAGAGAGAGACCAAATTCAAAAATAGGGGTATTTTAGTCATGAAGAAAGTTTCACACCCTTGTTTATACTTTATAGTAGTATAAATATAAAGATTATAAGTTATTTGGTTATCTATCCAATCAGACCAATCCCCCCCACACACACACACAAAAAAATAATCCAATAACAAATTACGGTCATTTTAAGTAACATGGTTTAAGAATGTGACAAGATTAGAAAGTTTTTATGTTTAGGTTTGTCTTTAAGCATATTTGAGTAGGGGCCTTTACTTGGCACCCCTCTCAATATAGAGAAGTGGGATCAAACCCACATATTTGTAGGCTCTCAATGGTAAGTATATCTGACTTAATAGCTTTTATCTTTTACAATTTTTGTACCATGTGCTTATGGTATCAAGTTCAAGAATGCTGATCATTTGTCACTCAATTAAGTCAGAACATGCATTGTAGGAATAGATACAGAATACTCAAGAAAGGAAGATTGGTTCCATCAGATTGGTAGTAAAATTATGTAAATGTTGCTTTTTTGAAATACTCTATAGCATTATAATAAAAAAATATTGCATCAGCACTTATGTACACCAGGAGACTGCATAATGGGAATACATGAATGTGAAGAAAGAACTCATGTGTGTGCAAAAAGACTATAAGCATTGAAGTAACAGCTATGGGGTACTCCCCTAAATTTGTTGTAGATTGCCAACCATTAGTGAAGGGTGCCGCTGACTTTCCCTTGTAGCTCTCTTCTAGAAGGCAGACTTTGTTTTCTAAAAATATGAGAACTCCTATCTCCCCAGATTATCCAAATGATAACCCTTTTGGTTATAGCTCTTGGAAACCAACCATAAAGTGGGTTGACCAAGCCACGATCTCAATCTCTATTCCCTGTTCCATATTTTTCTGCAACAATTTGTCTCCAAAGTTCACCTTTGTTAGTGTTGGGTCTCCAAAACTAGTTAATGTTGACATCTATCAGCCTTCTTATTCCTAACTCACCTGGATTTCTAGGAGAATACACATTTTTCCAATTGATTATATGGAACTTTAAATTATTTCTAGAAGTATGGCTACACCTTGATGAGAGGTGCTTTGCCTCCTTCAGATATTTCTAAGTAGACAGCTTCCTTAAGATAGGCACTTGGTCTCTAATGGATTGTGAAATGCATTTGCTCTCAAGGGTAAGCCTAAGTATTTAGAAGGAAGTTTGTCTATGTTACAACGTAGCATTCCAGATTTATCACATCAATACTGATTTGCAGGATTTCTATTTCCTAGCCTTTTATTTTCAGTTTAAGGGATGGGGATCACAATAAAGCCCATTATCACAGGTACCAAAAAACAGAAGAGATCAATAATATCGTTATATCCCAAAGGTGTAGCCCAAGTAGAGCCAAAAACGGGGATAAAGTGGTTCCATACCTTTGCAAGGCTCTCTGACATCTATGACTTAAAAATTAAAATTGCTCAACGGTTTGATGACCCTTTTCAGGTTTCATCCAAGAGATAAAATAATTGATCACAAAGTGTGTGTGAATTGTACAATGAAAACTGAGAACCATAGAATTACAATCTTCTGGTTGAAGTTTAGCTAAAAAAATAGAGAATTTACCATCAACCAACACATACAGACGTACAAAAATGAGAAAAACTTACAGCTCCATAAAAAGCGCCTGATGCTTCTATTGCCCACCATCCTCTTCCAACTTCTGAACATATGCTTTTAAAGTCATCACCAAATCCCTCGCCGGCGCCTGGAGCGTACCAACCAATGCCGATGCAGGGCTTTGAAGCGAACCCAACAACTTGGCATAAATCTCAGCCCTCGTCGGCATTGTCTCTAGAGCCTTGAAATCAAAGGGCCCATAAAACTTTCCCTCAAACACCGCCCCCGTGAAATCATTGTCTTCCAACTTCTTCTCTTTCTGGAAACTTCTGTACGGTTTCAGCGCTTCAGGAATTTCCTCAGTGTGAACAAACATCCAGGCACTCATGCCCTTCATGCAAGGCTTCAGAGCCTCCCACGGCGTACCTTCGACAGCTTTGCCGACAAGCGTGTTCTTGGCGACGACGAGCTTGACGGATTCCGGAAAACTCCGCCTGAGCTCTTGAAATTGCTTCACTGTGAAGCCCTTGTACTTGATTCCAGCGACAAGGTAACAGTTCTCTAGCTGTTTCTTAACGTTTTCCACCGTTTCTTCCTTCTTGGTTCGGCTGATAGCGGCGCGGATTGAAGGGAAATGAGAGGTTCTGTGGGTTGTCGGAAAAGCTGTTTTGGGCTTAAAGACTGTTGTTGTGAAACCGTTCAGCGTTAGCTGCTGAGAGGAAGGTGCCTTCGAGGAGGGGAATGCACAGAGAGAAACTTCCATTGCGGAGGAAAGGGTGACCTATAGACCATACACCTTATCTTCTCGAGTGCGGGATGGAAGAACGCGAAAAATGAAAGGAGAGTATCGTTAGCACCTTGCTCGCACATGGCATTCAAAAGAGCATGTACATATGCACTACTTGGTGCGTCCCTTGCTTGGCCTACGCTCACATGTAAGCTGCAAATTCTTCTTTATCAGACGCATAGATATATTTTAAGAGATGTATCACCATCTTTATCAGACGCATAGATATATTTCGAAACATTATAAATATTTTAATAAATTATAAAAATATATAATAATAGTAAATATAAAATCTAAATTAGGTGTATATATATATATATATATTAAATTAATATATTTTAATGGTTTTATGAAAAAATATATTATAGTTAATTATAATTTTGTTAAAATTCCTTTACTTAACTATAATTTATAAATTATAATTCTTAATTTTTAATGTTTAATGGGATGGAAAAAAACCAGCTCTCTTATCCAACCATAAAATATGCATTAACACTACTTCTAAGTGAAAATATACTTAATAATTATTTATTATTTCAATAATTATTATTTATTGTTTATTTTCAAAAAATATAAAAAAATAAATAAACATTACATAATATATTCAAAAAATATTTATTAGAGAAAAAATTTCAATTGCCTTGCGGAATATATGATAGATGATCCATAGAATTATAATATATTCAATCATTGTGATCAAATGATAAAATATAATTAGTTAATTATTTATTTTTAATTCTATAAATATAAAAATAAAAAAATATTAAAGAAGAAATTTCAATTGCTCTATGAATATGATAGATAAATCTATAGATCTAAAACATATTTAGTGTTTATATGCAGAGAAAAAAATTATATTTTCAAATTTTTTGTTAATTTATATTTTCCCCAAATATCTCATGAAATTTCCATAAATCTATAGATAACATAAAAAATGTGATTTTGGATGTAAGAAATGTAGATTAACATAAATTTATACATTAAAGAAAAAATAAATGATAAGATATTATAAAAAAGTGAAAACAATTACTTATTTTTTACCATATTTTCTCAAAATTTGAAAAATCTTCAAAAAAAAAAAGCGATTCACACTTGTTTCTTGTAAAATTTTGCAAATCTATCACTCTAGGAATAAGGTTTGGAGTTTTAGAGTCATTTGGGGATGAAAGAATCTTACTTTTTTCCTTTATTTTTTTTTCGGTTTTTTGCCGTATCTTTTTCGTCGATACGCTACCGATACACCTCCTATACGCCCCGATATGGGTCCGATACACATGAAAAAAAAACGATACACACGATTTCTATACATATCCTGTGTCTATTTTTAAAAGATATTAGTAGGTGTGTCGTATCAAAATTTTAAACCTTGGTCTTATTAATTTCCAAAAGCTGTTTTAGTGTGCAAATAAGATATTACACGTGTCAAAATATTAATGTAGTTAGTTACCTTTTAAAACACAAGTGGCATACTCGGTGTTCGGTATCTATAAATACTCAATTAATGAATTGTTTCGCTTGTCTTGTGCATTTCATTCAAAGCTTAGATGGTATTAGAGCTGCAGGTGTTAGCTCCTTTAACATCCCTTTTTGCTTTTCAGACAGTCTTGTTTTTTCGGTAAGTCAGTTCGGTTGCTCGTGCTCTCAGATCTAATGAATCGATTGATCTGAGAAACAACTCGTCTTCAGTTTATCATTCTAGTGCTTTTTCTTTATCCGCCTTCGGATTTAAAAAATGACAATACAAGGGTTTATTTGGCAAGTCTTTTTGAGAAGATCTTTTTGTAATTCTGACAATAAAAAATGCATTGAGCTTTTGACATAAGATCTAGACAGTTCAAAGACCGTTTGGCAGATACATGTCTTTTTGTGTTTTCTTATGCGAGCATAAAACGCAAAAGACACGAAAAACTCCATTTGGAGCTTCCCAATATCAGCCCAAAATGGGCTTTTTGCATCTTTTGGTGGCTAAATCCAAACGGAAATAGACCGAATTTCGGTCTACTCGGCTTATAAACAACCGAAAGACCGCACGAAAAGACACACCAAACACCCCCAAAGTTTTCTTTCAAATTCTTTTGATTTCTACTTCAGTCCTGCACCCTATTTCTTCATATCAGTACTCTATTTCTCTTTACCAGCAACAATTAGTTATCCGTTCTTGACCAGCTCATCATGTCCACCGAAGGAAATACTGATAACTTCACCGATCCTTCCTCACCCTACTATCTTCACCCCTCAGACAGTCCTGGAACTGTCTTGATTTCTTGTTTGATGAATGGTGACAATTATCAGACTTTGAGGAGAGCAATGATCAATGTTCTTTGTGCAAAGAACAAGATGGGATTCATTGATAGAACAACCGTCAAACCTAATCAATCCAAGGTTTCAGATCTGCTTGCATGGAAAAAATGTAATTCCATGGTATATATCATGGATATTCAATGCTCTGGCTCGTGATATGCACGACAATATAGCTTACATTAACACAGCGCAAGAAATTTGGCGAGACCTAGAGGAACATTTTTTTCAAGGCAACGCACCAAGAGTGTTCCGTTCTAACATCCTTGGAATGGATCCCTTACCAAGTGTGGCCACGATTTATGCCTTGATCCTGCAAGAAGAGAAGCATCAGCTCGTTGCCAGTCATCATGCACCAGCTATTGAAGCAGCTGCACTTCAAGTAGCCACTGGTTCTTCCAAAGGAAATTCCAAGAATTCTAAAGACTCCAAAGATCGATTCCGATGTCATGCTCTCACTGTAACAAAACTGGTCACACTAAAGATTGATGTTACGAACTGGTTGGGTATCCACCGTCATGGGATACAAAGGGAAAATCCGGTGCTAAATCCTCTGTTAATGGTTCAAATTCTGCAGTAGGTTTCAAACCACCATCGTCTTCACCTTCTCTTGCTGCTGTTGTCGACAATTCATCTCCTATAGCTGGATTAACAACTAAGCAGTATCAGCAATTGCTTTCCTTGCTCAATGTTGACAAACAAACATCTGATGTGGCTAATTTTGCTGGTAAGGCCTCCAACCACCATTTGGATTATGAACTCTAATGTTTGGATTCTTGATAGCGGTGCCTTAGATCACATGGCACCCACTGATTTAGCATTTTAAGTCTGTCCAATTTCCAAATAGAAATTTAATACCTGTCCTGTTCACCGGTCATATACCTCTCACACCAAATGTCCTGCTACGGGATGTTCTCTTTGTTCCTAGTTTTAAATGCAATATTCTTTCCATCAGCAAACTTATTGCTGCCTTAAATTGTGTTGTGCATTTCTTTCCATCCTTTTGTGTACTGCAAGACCTGACCTCCAACATCCTGATTGGATTGGGCACTATGCGTGATAGGCTCTATTACTTCCAACCCATTCAGCCATCATTTGCTTCAGATGTTGCCTCACGATCACTCGCCCCGAGATTACATATTTAGTTCATGTTCTCAGCCAATTTCTTCATGATGATCCACGGCAAGAACATCTTGATGTTGCAATGCATGTATTGCGTTACTTGAAATATTCACTAGATCATGGGATTCTTCTGCCTACAGCGAGTGATCTTTCAATACGAGCTTACAGTGACTCTAATTGGGCTGGGTGCACAACCACTCACAAATCTACTTTGTGACTCTTGGTGCTTCTCCATTATCATGGAAAACCGAAAAGCAACCCACCGTGGCGTGATCTTCCGCAGAGGCAGAGTGTCGCTCCATGGCTGCAGCCACCTATGAACTCCTCCGGCTGAAACGTTTTTTCTCAGATTTGGTCTTAACTCACCCTCAACCTATGTGTATATTTTGTGACAATAATGCAGCTCTCCACATTGCTGCCAATCCACTGTTTCACGAGCGCATAAAGCACAATGAGCTTGACTGCCATTTCATTCAGGAGCATCTGCAGCCCAACACCATTAACACTGCTCATCTTTCTTCTAAACTACAACCTGCAAACATTTTCAGTAAAGCTCTTGGACGGGATCACTTTTAGGCCCTTCTACCCAAGTTGGGCATTGTTACACCTCCTGCTCCAACTTGAGGGGGAGTATTACACATGTCAAAAGATTTATGTAGTTAGTTACCTTGTAAACACAAGTGGCATAGGCGGTGTTCTGTATATATAAATACTCAATTAATGAATTGTTTCGCTTGTCTTGGACATTTCATCCAAAGTTTAGATAGGATGGTAATTTCTACCCTATCCAGTGGTATGGTAATTTCTAAACCTAATCGGTAGTACTAGTTTTCGAAATTTGGTGATTGAAATTGAATGGAAGCCGATCCGTAAATCAGTTGATCAATTTGGTTCATTGGTTTTTCAGTTTTTGATTTGTATAATATTATAAATCAATATAAAATATATAAATATATATAATTTACATGGATATATTTAATATATATAATTTATATAAATACATTTAATATATATGCTAGTCGGTTCAGTTAACTACCGTTTTTTTTTTTATCTTGGTTAACTGAAACTAAACTGGTATCTTTAGTTCTTTGAAAATACTAAATTGATCGATTCAATTAACTAAATTTTTTTTGTTCGATCTTATCAATTTGGTTTTGATGAGGGCAAATTTGGCCCTCCAGTGAAATTGCGACACGTGGTACCTCGTGACAACCAGGCAAACACCCAGGCAACAACTTACCAAGTTGGTGTCCCACCCGGGCACCGGTCTGGCTGGCCTGGCGCGACCTGCACGCGGCCT